AACATGACCGGGACACCATCACAACATGACCGGGACACCATCAAAACATGACCGGGACACCATCACAACATGACCGGGACACCATCAAAACATGACCGGGACACCATCAAAACACGACCGGGACACCATCACAACATGACTGGGACACAATCAAAACATGATCGGGACACCATCACAACATGACGGCGCCACCATCACATGATCGGGACACCATCAAAACATGACCGGGACACCGTCACAACACGACCGGGACACCATCAAAACATGCCCGGGACACCATCACAACATGACCGGGACACCATCAAAACATGACCGGGACACCATCAAAACAGGACCGGGACACCATCACAACATGACTGGGTCACAATCAAAACATGATCGGGACACCATCAAAACATGACCGGGACACCAGCATCACATGACCCGGACGCCATCAAAACATGACCGGGACACCATCCGCCCACCAGCTCTGACGGTGACCCGACGGCGCCCGTCCGCCTATTAGTTTTGCAAGACCCCATAGCATGGCTATTGGGGAAATATTACAGTATATACATCAAATGTATGAACATCAAATGGGTGTCCATTCTAATTTTCAGATTGCCGTCAATAACGGTCCAATGTTTCAACCCGTCCCAATGAAAGTTCCCAATCGATGTACCGCTGCCCGCTGCTCGCCTTGACAGCGGAGCTGTGCAACGCTTGCAGCCGCTGCTCAGCTCGACGTTGGCTTGTCTGGTCGCTGGCCATCTCTTCCTGTCAGTGACGCTTAAACCCGTGGCCCATGGTGCTTTGGAATTGGCTTCTGGTGAGTCCCAACGACTTGACTGGTGAATGTCAGTCCATACAGTGCTGGTATGTGCTAGTACAGTGATTACGAGTAGCTGTAGGTGGACCAGAGAGCCTCGAATGCGGCACACTCCACACCCTGTTGTCACAGGTGATGGGTGATGACCCCTGATGAACATGGCATAGTAGTGGGGATTTGCTCCTAAAGCAGAACAAGCAGGTGTATGTCGGCAAATGAAAGCGCAGCTCTGAGGCTCTAAGGTCCACAGAAAGACTTCGTAAAGAGCCACGCTCGTCGTCTGTACCTGAAAGCCTTCTGAACAAACAATCGAGACGCTTGTTGCTTTTGTTCTGAAGAGCCCACTGGTTGCAAACCCTCTGGCCCCTCTGACTGGACATGTGGTACGAATAGATGGTTCATCAAACAACTGCGCTGGAGTGCCCAAATATCCAGAAGAACCCAAAGGATATCGATTCTCCCAGCGTCACTGCTCATGTTGGGCAGCTCAGATGGGGATAATTCTCCTGGCCGCGGAGTCCAAGTGCGATGGGGCTAGGAACATGACCGAGGTGAGATCGAGACAGACTCGAGTGAGTTCTTCCAGCTCTTTCGTCAAAATGTCAAGATTGCCATGAGCTACACTACCCCCAGCACCCTCACAACACTCTTCGCCAATTCAGGGACCTCCGACCCAAGCTGAAGACTACCCCGAAGCATTCCTCCCGTAGAAAGTTCGCTTCACCATGAGAGCCGCAGCCTAGGTTGCTCCACCACCCAAATCCCCTGGCCCTTGCCCTTCGGCCGCGTTCGAGAAAAACCCGTCTCCTTCCAGAAGCTTGGAGGCGAAGGTCTGGTTCTTGGCATCTTTGAGATTAAAAAGGATGGTGCGAGATTGATTCAAGTACCTTCCGGTCCAGAAGCTGGGACCCAGCAAATCCACATCGAGCCCTGGAGCCTTTCATACCCCAAAAAGTGCTCTCAAATAAGAGCATTGGGACAACCAAGCTCGTTTGGTCCCGGCGGATGCACCGCAGAAGCGCGGGGGCCCCGATGGTCCTCATGATTTTGTTGGTGTCCTTGTCATTGGGGATGAACAGGGCTCGAGTTTCTCCTCTGAACAGGGCACTGATGTCCTCAATGTTTCACAGCTTCTCTTCTCTGACTCTATGGGCCTATGTGCCCCCGTATGGGCCCACAGGGCCCCAGTCGTGATTGGACACCGGCCAAGCTGCAATTTCTCCGACTGCTCGAGTGCGAACTTCCGATGTAGCTCCTGGTTGGCTCGACTCAGGTTTCTACGGCATGGAACTGTGGACGGATGCATTTCAGGACACCGCGTGCCATGTGCGCCACGGAGCTTCAACACGTAGCAAACTATGTGTCTCCCCACTATTATCCGCAAATCACAAACAAGAACATGCGGCGCTTCTCCTGCAAAAACAGGACTGAAGTGAACACTCCAATTGACCCTCGTTCTTTCGATCTTCTTGTTCTCCGATCTGCACAGGAGACTTGCAATTTTGGAAGTTCCAAACACGTTCAAGTTTGTTTAACCGAGCGACATTTGAAGAAATTTGATATATAACTTTATGAGTACGAACTCTTCCCTTTTGAGAATTTTCACACTTGGGCAGGAAGATTGGCCGCTTGATTGATGTATCGCTCGTTTTAATCACGAACAGGAAAGTTTGGGAATTGTATGTGGGAAACATCAATCAGGATCCGGAGATGGACGGAAAAAGGGAAAGAGGGAGAGAGAGAGAGAGAGAGAGACAGAGGGAGAGAGCGACGAGTAATCATCAGCACATCGGCAGTTGCCTAGTTGCCTGAGGAATCCCTTGAGAGAGTGAGAGAGGGAGAGGGAGAGGGAGAGGGAGAGGCGCGGAACTGATCAATGATCAATCAAGCACCAAACAATCAGCCAATCAACAAATCAAGGAAGCAACCAATCAGCCAACAACCCGAGAAAGAAACCAACAAATCACTCCAAATAATGCGTATTCTACACCGCATGTGACCATAGGCCATGCCTTTCTGCTACTTTCAGGAAACGCCCGGGATCGGGGAGCCAAAACTTCTTTATATAAACGATGCCTCGAACCCCTTGACTCGAGAAAGGAAGGTAAGGTTACAGGCTGAGAAAAAATGCCGGAAATTATCTTTTTGATTCCCCAGATAGCGAAGCTATGGGGTTCTTACTTCAAATGCTTTGCTATCTGGGGTCTATGTTGGAGTAATCTTTTTGATGGCGTTGGGGTCTTGGTGTTGTCTCATTATATATCCTATAGTGTTTGCCCATCCAGCCGACGACTTGCGGATCCATCCTCCATTTTGGGGTGGCAGGGTATGAAGCCCATCCAGCCGGCCCTGCATGTCTTCGAAGAAAAAAAAAAGCGGCGTAGAAGGTGGGGAGGCCATCAGACGTGTTGCCCCAATTAGTTCTGATGGTCTGATGTCTGGATCTCTCGGTCGGATGTCGCTCCTCTTCCACTTGCTCCGCCAAACCATCGACCGCAGCCCTTCCAAAGCGAAGCGCGGCCTCCTGATCAATCGTGGCCAGGCCGGGGGAGGTATACAAATGCTCATTGACATGGACCCGTTCAAGACCCATTTCCTTTGGTTTCAATTTGTCATCTCATGATTCAAGTGGCGACTACGACTAGGACAGGGTGATGCGACAAAACCCCGAGATATATTCATGGTCTATCTGAATGGCCCAGAAGCTGCCAGTCCATACTAGCCGGTTTAGTTCTCCTCCTTATCTTCGTTGGGCAGGGCATGGATTCGGGATTGAAGTAGTCGTGTCATCCAACAGCTCCCAAAGCCAATGCCCAAATCCTCAGCCTCCAAAAGTAGGAATATATTATACCCCAACAGTTGGTCCTTTATCAAACGGCAGAGAGTTGAGCGCAAAGAATGCACGAACCCATTTTGCAAGGCACCTGCTGTCTGTGGATCATTCATGTTCCAAACTATCAGATTAGAATCTTAGAAGGCTCACCCTGCAAAAGGTCATCACACGCACACACACACACCAAAAAAGAAACACACACACGCACACACCAGTTCACCATCCAAAAATCAATCTCCCAAAACGCCTGAGTACCACTCCGACCAAGCCATAGCACCTTCAAAGCGTCTTGAAGCTTCTCCAACACCTTCACTCGCGCAGCAGCCTCAATCAATTTCAATTGGCCCAGAACGCCACGGCCCAGTTGGGTCAAGAACGCCGCTACAGTAGAATGCAACACACTCACAGCACCACTCACCCTGTTGGCAAATGCAAGTAGCCTGAGGCGCCTTCTTTGGAGTCGCCACAGCTTCCGGCCGTGCAGCTTTCTTGGGGCTCTCGGATACTTCAGTGCCTTTCCTGCAATGAAAGCAACACAGTGGTTGAAAATACATATCACACAAACCTTGGTCCCAAAATCCAATTTAAGAAGGGCCGTGTCAAGTGGCTCAATTATCAAACTCCAAGGGAGACGGTGACAAAAACCTTGATGCTAGATCCCTTTTGTAAACCGCTGTAGTCATGTATATAATGTAGTGACGAATTCCCTCATTGACGCATCAATCTGCAGCCCGCAACCGAGCACCCGAAGATTCTTCAGCCTCGAGAACTCGTGCCAGCCTCTTGCGATGCAATTGCTTCCAGTCTTGTACAAGGCACTTGGCCATGTCGCGAACTTCGTCGCCAGCCTCCTGCGCAAAGGCTGCTAACTGCTGCTACCACAGGTCATGTCCGGCCTGCATCTAGAGTCAACATAGGAGTCCTTGCGGGATCATCGAAGAAAAAAGAGAAAAGGCATTTTAGTTGAAGTTTTGGAGCAGGCGTACCGCGTCCCGCCCACGCGGGCACGCGCGCGCACCAACCCGGCCAAGGGGTGTCCCCCCACCAAGGTCGAACCAACCTCAACCTCCTCAGTCCTGCCATGCTCATGCTCGGTTCATCGGCTCGGTTCGCCAACGACAAGGGTCCGGTCCACCACGCTCCACGCCTTACTGAGGCGGTTCACTGCCAGCCCGATCTTCGTCTCTGCCAACACTTGGGTCGAGAGCTCCCCCAACGCTCGGAGATCCTGGCTGCCGAGTGAAGCGACGACACGGAAGAGGCTGCGGGGACCCGGCCCAACGACCAACGACCAAGACCAATGAGGTGGCACTGGTTCCGCAAAGCCTGTGGAAACTGCCATGGGTTTGATACATGGCGAGAGGAAGATGAAAGTTCCCAAACGCAGCTGTGGCAGTGATTCTTGGGGGACGTTTTGACCAGTGAAGACTTTGGCCAGCGTGGGCACGGCGGATTTGCGCAGGAATGCCAGGCTATCCTGTGAATACTTGTAGGCATGGGCCAAGCGATTGGTAAGCAAAAAAAGGAAGTGATGACGCCAACTCAACAGAGACCAAAATCTGTGAAATCTTGTCTGCAGTACAACTTTATCCCCGTCCCTGATATATATATATATATAGTGAAGGAATGTGCAGTCAATTTCCCTTGTCACGGGGAGTGTTGTTGTGATGACATGGGAGGTCACACACGTTTGGGTGTACAATGAAAAAATACTGCAACCTTTAGATCTTCAAAACAAGTGTGGGACACGCGACATTGCAAAAGCATATTTCACAATCTGGGACAACTCCGTTTGCACCCAAGTGCTCCAGTTAGTGGTCTATTTCTTCAACACGACCCAATTGCCAGCCTCAGCATATGCACAACACACCCTGAAACAATCATGGAAAGCACCCGTTGGTAGGAGGAAAACAGTCATCCAAGTGGGCCAATGGTTGCTGAGGTACCCTCTTGAAGTCCAAGCAACCACCGGAGCTCTGCCCCGATCGGGACTCTCCGATAAGGACTCCCCCAAAGGAGGCCCTTGGTACGCTTGGTGGGGGGGGTTTCTTGCGCGCAAGACTCACAAGACACAAAAAACCATGTCTGTCCTGCAAGGCCGCTTTGAGCTGCTCTGATGTGCTCTCTGCTGCTTCCAGCATGCTTTTGCAACGCCAGACGGTGGACTCCATGCTGCATGTGGCGCGGCGTGGCGATTTCAGCGCGGTGTTGTGGCGGTGAATATCAAACACACCTTTGGGGGGCGCCACGAGTGGAAATGGTTTCTGCGTGTTTCTTACTTACATGGACGGACACGGAGAGCCAATAAATTGCTCCTGTCATTGCTGTTCTGTCTGAGTGTGCTGCATTGAAATAGAAAGACTTCCACAAGGCCACACTATATAAGTAGAGCATGTCAGGCTTCCAGGTTGAAGTGTCAATCGCTTCGACCAAACACCACGCATATCTTGAAGATTCCATCTGTGAGTGAAGCAAGAGCTCCGGGGCCTTGAGTTCCGAGGTCCTTTTAAGCTACTCCCTTCCACATCTTGACCAAGGACCAATCCTTGCCGCGCCGCACTCGACCTCCGGCCGGTGCTTGCCTCACTCACAAGATGTACTTGACTACTTGAAACAAGAAGCTCTTGGGGTACTGGTAAGCTTCATGATGCGCCGCAACCCAGTCGTGGAGTGCTTGATCTGGGTCCGCCTTCGGCCTCACGCACAGCAAGGCGCTGGTCCTTTCCAGCATGCTCCGGTGTCCCGGCAGGCCCGCAGCTCGATGATCAAACAAGAAGATGGGTTCAAACGACTCCAAGGTCAGCCCCTCACGTGACAGCACAAAGTCAAGGACCAGGCGCGTCATGCGTCCATTGCAGTCATGCAAAGGATGGAAAAAGCAGACATCCAAAAAGGCCTGAACCGCACGCTTAGATGCACACTCAGTCTCGTTGCAAGCCTCCTGTAAGCATTTGGCAAAGGTGTCCCTATGAGCTTTGGTGAAGGGACATCGCTCTCTCCATGTTGGCGGAAATTCCGATGCAAAAAGGGATTGGTGTCATAGCCACCACCTTGATAGAAGGGCCCCAGAAACTTCACCCATTTCACCACCATCTCGAAATCCAAGGGAAGCTACATCTTTGCGGCACTCGGCCAAAGCAAACTTGAAGTCTGCGGCTCTTTTCGGATCTCGCTTGGCATCGATCGAGTCCACCAATTTTAGACACCTCTTACGCCACCTGGATGGCCAAATCGGACTGCACGACATAAAACCTGAGATGGCGTTGGAGACCGTCTCCAGCAAAGAAACCTCCAGCAGGCCGACGGATTCCAGGTACCAACGGACCAGTGTCTGAAATGGCCTGCACCACATAGTGACATAGTGTTTTTAATTTTGAAGCCCTGGTAGGCCATCACACCGGGGACAAAGCGGATGAGCCTCCCAACAACCAACTCCACATGGTCACAGGCTGGAAGGGAAGCACACCATACACAGTTTTGGCAAAATCGTTGTCCAACTCCAAGATCAGGGCCCACCAGTTCTTCACCTGGTGGTCACAACTTCTTCGCTACATCCAAGCATCAAGCCTGGACAAATGTGTAGATAGAAGCTCTGACAACAATTTCAGTGCACACGTCATCCAGCGATTGTATCAATGGAACCTTGCAATGACGACACCAACTGGTGCCAAACGTACTAATTTTAGGACAAACACTAGGACCCGGTTGGGCCTAGGACTAGCACCTACTCGTAGCGGTGGTGGTAGTAGCATCGTCGTAGCTGTAGTCGACTACGACAACGACCACGGGCGTGACCACGGCTCTGACTATCACTGCGAGTGCTACTACAATTACGACTAGTACTACGGCTATGACTCTAACTACGAGTACTGATTTTTCCAGATCTCACGTCTATAATTGGAACTGGGACCTCCGAAAATACTTAAAACATGCAATAACAACATACAAAAAGCGCTTGTAACTGTGACTTTTTGTTCAACCGCATTGTTTTTTCTTAAGTTATGTGGGACAATGCGTCTGAAACGCTTCAAAACCACCGCCGAAGTCCATCTATCCATCTATCGGTCTATCTATCTACCTATCTATGTGTCTAATACCTAGTGCTCCGGCATTGGCCGAATTGAGTTGCAAAACGATATTATATGCCGGCATACCACATCTCAGACAGTCTTGGTTTCTCCTCTGCAGTCCATCCTCCAGGGCCCACAACAAATCGTGCCTCCCTTGTCCATCACAAATGTCAAGTTGTCCATTGGTTGTGTGATTGGATTTGGGGTGCTGCGGCTTTGGGTTGCCAAGCGTTCTTCTGGTTTCTTGCAGCTGGATGAGGGTGTTCCCTCTATCCTGCACGCCTGCATCTGTGCCTTTTGCATCCTGAGTCCGCTTGAAGGGTGCTAAGTCCCAGTGTTTCACGCTGAGGCTGAAAACGCGTGATGGGAACAAAATTCCGGGTCTGAACCAACATGTGGTTCAGGTTCTGACGTTAGGTTCTTCAAGATCGTCGAGTTAACTGAGCCAACTGTTCAAATCCAAACACGATTAGTTTCAACATTTGCACCCACAGTTTGTATCAGAAGCATTGAACGCAATCTTTGCATCCCTTGACAAACATGCTTTGGGATGCTACAGGACATGCGGTTCCTTTTTCATATCCCACTTGTGCAAGTGCTGCAACAGTTGCAAATGATGGAAAGTGTTTTGTCCGGATGCGTTGAATTGAACGCGAAACAGGACACTGGCTGACATTTTTTCAAAATGGCAAGAAAAAAACCTTCTTGGAAGACGAAATTGAAGGAAACCAAACGCCTGCCGAGCCGATGAATCAGCAACAACAAAGAGAATCCTGAAAGGAACCCACGCGGCAGCGGGCACGTTACAGTACGGCTAGGAAACAACTTGCAACGCGCGGGCGCGATGTGGGACGTACAGGCACAAGGCTAGGAACGCCGAACCCACCGTAGTGAACGGTACTGTAATTCCTTCTTTGCAGAGACGCTGTCGTTGACAGGCTCCATGCAATCCGCGTTGCAAGTTCACTGATATCCTGGCTTGAAAATCGGTCCATGTTTGGCCATTGGGTAGCTGTTCCTTAGTATCTACCAACTTACACAGGGAGACCAGTAAGGCAACGATTTCTCGCCCGAAACCACCGGTGCTTTTCGAAGACAAGCGGCTCAAAGCCTAAGTTGTGTTGTGCGCTGCGTGTTTTTATGTCGGCATGCTTGCGCTTGAACTCAGTGTAGCGGGTGGCCGCCGTCGAGGGGCCACGGCACGGGTGTGGGCGGAGCCCTGACACAACCCAAGGCAATGCAGGGGAACCGTCTCCAGGATGATTGTTGCACATCCGGCAGGCTAACGACTAAGACATCGGCCTGTCGGGTTGGGAGGGCATTGGGAACCAAATCGTCGGGTTCAAGGACGGGTCGGGCCCCAGCTCGGGCAGCCAATCTATACACAACGTTGTGGAAACTTGTGTGCATTTGTTGTTTGTGACCTTGTCCCATGCGAGCATGACAATGGTGACCATATGCATCTAAGTTTTGCTGACAAAACGAACACGCAAGAAAATTCTAACCCCCCAACTGCATAGAAGTTGCGTCACGGAATGCAGTGTTGGGGAGCAGGGATGAGTGCGTGGCACCGCGAGACCCAACCCTCGTCGGTAACTTGGCTTGGGTCCATTGGTGTGGGGTGAGCGGAGCTCCAAGTAGCGTTTCCAAGGTTTGTCTTTGGACTGCGTGGAAGTCGGACAACAGGTCCCCAATAATCGGCGTGGTGTCGTGCGGCACCACCATTGGACCTTGGAAAATTTTCTTCCATTGCGGAGTAACCAAGATTCGACGTGCGTGTGTGGGAGAGTCGTCAGCAGCTTACACAAATCCCAAAACTCACTGAGTTTTTGCTGATGGAATCCTTGGAGGTGCTGGGGGCCCTTGCCAGTGGGAACTTTCAACATGGTGATGTCAGTCCCCGTGACAACCCGAACGCCTAAGGCTTGAAACCTAGGCACGTCTCCCCTGAAGGCTTCCCCGGCAAGTAAATACAGCGTGCATTTGTTGGGGTCCACATGTAAACCGTACTTGCTGGCCAACTGGAGTGCATGACGGGCAAGGTTTCCCGGGCAAACCGGCATCTTGTCATGAAAAAATTGCCGACGGCAAGTTGCACTCGGCAATGTTTGTTTAATTTGTGATACCCGTAAACAGAGAAAGCAGGAGTTTCTTCCAACGTCCGTCACTTGTGGAAAAAATCTGCAACAACAAATTGCAGCGGATAATGGTTGAACCTCTCGTTTGTGTAGCTGCGAGGCCAGTATGGCATACTCTTATCAAAACGAGTCGACAGTTGATGAGGTTTGCCAATTGTGCTTTTAAGGGGTGAACCCTGCAGAGCACGCGACAAGCAATTTGCCGCTATACATTTTCGGGCGAACGGCAAATGTTCATTTTGCCACCACAACTTGCCAGCAACAATTTGCAGCTGATGAGGCCTGCTTAGCAAACAACCAGCGTGGTTTCTTGTCACACACTGCAACAAATCAAGACTACACAGCCATGCCGCCCCCATAAATTGCTGAAAGGGGTGGCATGGGTTCCGGAAATTGTATGGGTCAGTATGGGGTGGTTTGGGGTGCTGTGGGGTGGTATGGGGGTGGTCTGCGGGTGGTAACGGCGATAAAAACTTCTGGTATCGGGGCGTTATAGGAACAGTAGGCTCGCGTAGGGGGTGGCCGGTGGCCTCAGCAGAAGCTGCTGACAAAAATTCCGCCATAGAAGAAGCCATGGTGCTCACGAAGGCTGAGCTGCGGAGTTTACACAGTTGAACACGACGTTGTTTCCTGTCCTTTGATGGCGCGCCTGTCTGTGATTGAAATTTGATGTTTTGTGTTCGCTGAGGCAGCAAAAGGGCATGTTCCAAACCCATTTGTCATCGAAGTTGGCGTGCAGCAAGGGCGTGTGCTAAGCCCAAGGCTTTTTTGCGCTGCTTTGCTATGGGCCATGCGAAAATGGAGAACAAACATGGAAGCAGCAAATGCCGGTATCAATTCCAAGATGGACTGCCAAACCTTCTCAGTTTGCGTGTTGCCGATGACATGGTACTATTTTTGCCGCTTGCTTGGCCTTGTCGGAAGTTGGCCGGGTCTTGAACTCAAACAAAACAATAATTTTGACAAACCAAGCGCAGCCCCAAACTTACCTCAGTATTGGGAACGGCGACCGAATCTAAGTGAAACCTGGAAATGCTGGACACAAGTGGTTGGGGTGAAGCCATGGATTTGCATCATCACCTCCAAACTGTTTCCCGGGTTTTCTTTGCACCGGAGCGAGTGCGTTGTATCGTCAAACCGATGTCTGGCCAAATTTGGCATCAAATTTTGTTATGAACAAGATTTTTGTTGTGGACGCTGAACTGAGAGGCTATTATTGCACACATCTGCCAGCGGCACCGAGCAGGGGCACCCGCACCCAGGCTCCAAAGCGCGCCCTGAACCTTCAATCCCCGAATTGCTCTCGCTCTCTGGAGATCGGGAACCATCTCGGACCAGTCTCGAATGCCCACACACCCGCTTGCCGGCCCGCACGCCAGCAAACCCGCACTGTGGACCTGCTGGCCCGCGAAACACGAAACCAAAGGAGAACGATCGTTCTCAATCTTTGCGCAGCCGTAGCGTGCTACAGGATAGCAGGGGGAGAGGGGAAAAAGAACGCAGCAGCAGTCCTGATGAGCAAAAAGGCGCACTACAAAAGTAACGAATTCAAATTCAAATCTGCGCTGTTAAAGTTCTGACCAAGCCATAATTTTGTTTGCATGTCTGACGCATATTCTCCCCGTCTGTGAACGGATGCAGGACAGGGGATTCTAAAATTGTCCCTTCGTCATTGGATACAGAATGTGCGCCGGTTGGGGGTGAACCTGAACCTGAACCTGAAGGGGAACTGTTCTAGTTCGGGTTCGGGTTCGGGCTCAGGTTCCAGTTGTGGACGGATGCGCCGGCCCTAGCGTGCGGGTTCTACCAGTAGTTCCGGTTCCGGTTCAGGTTCAAGCACAAGGGTGGAGAACCGGAACCTGAGCCTGAACGGGCACTGATCGGGTTCGGGTTCGGGCTCAGGTTCGGGTTCCGGTGTACCTGAACCTGAACCTGAAAGAGATCTGTTCGGGTTCGGATTCAGATTTGGGTTCCGGCGCATACGGTGGGGAACCTGAAGCTGCTGTTCTTGTTCGGGTTCGGGGTTCGGGTTCAGATTTGGGTTCCAGCTCAAACGGTAGGGAACCTGAACCTGAACGGGAACTGTTCTAGTTCGGGTTCAGGTTCAGGTTTGCGCGGGGAACGTAATGATTGGAAAAGATTTG